CATGGTCTTAATTTCAAAACTTTAAAAAAATACCCAACTTTTTTCTGGGATGCATGATATGTACCGGCAAATAATGACATACCATGATGATTGGATATTCTGTAAATTAAATATTTTAATATTCCTTTTTTTTTTTTTTGAGGGGAGTTTCACTCTTGTTGCCAGGCTGGAGTGCAATGGCATGATCTCAGGCTCACTGCAACCTCCACCTCCTGGGTTCAGGGTGATTTTCCTGCCTCAGTCTCCCAAGTAGCTGGGATTACAGCATAGGCCACCACTTCCGGGTTAATTTTGTACTTTTTTTAGTAGAGATGGGGTTTCTCATGTTGGCCAGGCTGGTCTTGAACTGCCAATCTCAGTATGATCCGCCTGCCTTGGCCTCCCAAAGTGCTGGGGATTACAGGTATGAGCCACCGTGCCAGCCAAATTTTTTCGGTTCACGCCATTCGTCCTGCCTTCGCCTCCCAGGCTAGGCTGGACTACACGCGCCTGCACCACACCGGCTAATTTTTTTTTTTGTTATTTCAGTAGAGACGGGGTTTTCACCATGTTAACCAGGATGGTCTCGATCTCTGACCTCATGATCCACCACCTCAGCCTCCCAAAGTGCTGGGATTACAGACGTGAGCCACGTGCCCGCCCAAATATTTTAATATTTCATAATTTAAATTATGAAAGGCTGTGTAGCAGCCATTAATATAATGTATGAAAAGAGTAGGGAAAAATAGGTAACTACATTGCCATGTAATCATGTTAATGCCATAAATATATTAAAAAGTTAGAAGCTTGCTGGGGCACGGTGGCTCAGAGCTGTAATCCCAGCACTTTTGGAGGCCAAATAAGGAGTTACTTGACACCAGGGGTTTTAGACCGAGCCTGGGAAAACAGCAAGATCCTGTCTCTACAAAAACTTTTTTTTTTTTTTTTTTTTGAGATGGAGTTTCACTCTTGTTGCCCAGGCTGGAGTGAAATTAACGCGATCTTGGCTCACTGCAAACCTCTGCCTCCTGGGTTCAAGCAATTCTTCTGCCTCAGCTTCCCAAGTAGCTGGATTACAGGCATGTGCCACCACGTGAGGCTAATTTTTGATTTTTTGTAGAGATGGGGTTTCACCATGTTGGCCAGGCTGGTCTTGAACTCTGCCTCAAGGTGATTCCGCCCACTTCAGCCTCCCAAGTGCTGAGCCACCGTTGCTCAGCCTACAAAAACATTTTAAAAATTCTCCAGATAGGGTGGTTGCATGCTGTATCATATTCTACTCGGGAGGCTGAGAGGTGGGGGTCTCATGTATGGTACATGGAGGAAAAAAAAAAGTTTTTAAAAAAGTTTAAACAGGCCAGGCATGGTGGCTCATGCCAGCACTTTGAGAGGCTGAAGTAGGTGGATCACTTGAGCTTAGGAGTTCAACACCAGCCTAGGCAACATAGCGAGACCCCTTCTCTACAAAAAATACAAAAAAATTAGCCAGGCTTGGTGGAAGACACCTGTGTCCCAGCTACCTTGGAGGCTTAAGCAGGAGGATTGCTTGAACCCAGGAGGTGGAGGTTGCAGTGAGCTGTGATTGTGCCACTGCACTCCAGCCTGGGCAACAGAATGAGACTCTGTCTCCAAAAAAATAAAGTTTAAACAACTGTTGAAATACCCAGATTTAGTTGCTTATAAGCAATCCTGTAGAAAAATGGGATTGATACGGCCGGGCGCGGTGGCTCACACCTCTAATCCTAGCACTTTGGGAGGCCAAGGCAGGTGGATCACGAGGTCAGGAGATTGAGACCATCCTGGCTTGCACGGTGAAACCCCATCTCTACTAAAAATACAAAAAAATTAGCCGGGCGTGGTGGCGGGCGCCTATAGTCCCAGCTACTTGAGAGGCTGAGACAGGAGAATGGCGTGAACCCGGGAGGCGGAGCTTGCAGTGAGCCAAGATTGCGCCATTGCACTCCAGCCTGGGTGACAAAGCGAGACTCCATCTCAAAAAAAAAAAAAAAAAAAGAGATTGATATAAAATTGTTTTATTCTCTTAAATATTTCATAAAAGGCCAGATGTGGTAGCTCACGCCTATAATCCCAGCACTTTGGGAGGCTGAGGTGGGCGGATCTCTTGAGGTCAGGAGTTCGAGACCAGCCTGGTCAACGTGGTGAAAACCCATCTCTACTAAAAATACAAAAAATTAACCAGATATGGGTGGCAGGAGCCTGTAATCCCAGCTACTCAGGAGGCTGAGGCAGGAGAATTATTTGAACCCAGGAGGCAGAGGTTGCAGTGAGCCGAGATCGTGCCATCACATTCCAGCCTGGGCAACGATAGTGAAATTCCATCTCAAAAACAAAACAAAACAAAACAAAATCATATAAGACAGTATAGGATTGGGACATAAGAATTTGAAGTTTGTTTTAAACTTTTTTTTTTTTTCTTTTTGAGATGGAGTCTTACTCTTTTGCCCAGGCTGGAGTGCATTGGTATGATCTGGGCTCACTGCAACCTCTGCCTCCTGGATTCAAGTAATTCTCCTACCTCATCCTACCGAGTAGCTGGGACTACAGGTGTGCACCACCACACCTGGCTAATTATGGTATTTTTAATAAAGACGAGGTTTCACCATGTTGGCCAGGCTGGTCTCAAACTCCTGACCTCAGGTGATCCACCCACCTCGGCATCCCAAAGTGCTGGGATTACAGGTGTGAGCCACCACAACTGGCCTGTTTTAAACTTTTTATTATGGGGAATGTGAATCATACAAAACTAGAAAAAAATAGTTTAATGAATCCCCAGGTCCTCATCACCCAGTTTCAACAATTACCAACTCACCCTCTATTTCATTCAAACCTCTACTCAGTGCCCCTCTGCCTCCTCCCTTTCCACCTCTTATAAGATTTAGACATTTTTAATCCCAGCACTTTGGGAGGCCAAGGTGGGTGGATCACGAGGTCAGGAGATCGAGAGTATCCTGGCTAACATGGTGAAACCCCGTCTCTACTAATAAAATACAAAAAAATTAGCTGGGCACGGTGGCGGGTGCCTGTAGTCCCAGCTACTCTGGAGGCCGAGGCAAGAGAATGGCGTGAACCTGGGAGGTGGAGCTTGCAGTGAGCCAAGGTTGCACCACTGCACTCCAGCCTGGGTGACACAGCGAGACTCCGTCTCAAAAAAAAAAAAAAAAAAAAAAAAAAAAAGATTTAGACATTTTAAACATAAATTTGCCAGAAAAGAAAGCAGTGTGACATGGTGGAAAGATCCTGGACTTTGGATTTGGACAGATTTGGGTTCAAATCTTGACTCTGTCACTCCAAGTTCTTAGGACAATTGTGCCACCTTTTTAGTTTTCATTTTCTTCTTTTTCTTTTCTAGAGTGGGGTGAAAGGAGGGAGGATGAAAGAGAAAGAGAAAGAAAGGAGGGGAGGAAGGAAGGACAAGCGAGGAAGGGAGGAAGGAAGGGAGGGAGAGAGGGAGAGAGGGAGGGAGGAAGGAAGGGGGGAGGGAGGGAAGGAAAAGAAGAAAGAAAAAAGAAAAGAAAGAAAGAAGAAGGGAAGGAAGGAAAAGAGAAAAAAGAAAACGAAGGAAGGGAGAGCTCATTTTCCTTATTTTAAATGTTGGGGTAATAATACCCACCTCTTAGGGTTAGTAGAACCTTCAGGTGAAAAACTATTTGAGTACCTACAGAATGCCAGTGTCAGGCATTGGTAATAACAAGTGACTAAGACCCAGCCCTGTTCTCAAGGAACAAAATTCTAGAACTAGGATATTCTAGTTATTCTGAAATTTTCTTATGCAAACTTTGATAATGGCTGCCTAGGTCAAAATTCAGGGGCTTCAGTTATGACGCAGTGGGAAAAAGTGCTGGGATTGATTAGTGATGTCTGCTGGGGAACTGGGGCTCAGGGATGATAACTTTGCTGAGAACCCCCTGGGTGTGCTATACACACCTGCTATGTAGTCAATGGATTTTCACTACTGGTAGAGTCTTAGTGAAATACCAGAATTTCATCACTTGTAAAATGCTGACAAGGTATACATCTCATCGGAAGTGTGGTAAAGGTTAGATTCATGACATAGGCTGTATTCTTATCACCCTCAGGTATGTGTTCAAGACCTCATCTCCCCCATCAATGTTTCCCTGAATTTCTCTCTTTGGGAGGAGGAAGGGACACCGAGGGACCAAAGGGCGGTAAGAAGAGATGGCTAGGGACGGTGGGGAGTTTATCAGAGAAATCCATTTGGCAAGAAGAGCCGCCCATGGTCAGGCGGCTCACTCCTTTAATCCCAGCACTTTGAGAGGCTGAAATGGGTGGATCACTTGAGGTCAGGGGTTCAAGACCAGCCTGGCCAACATGGTGAAACCCCATCTCTACTAAAAATACAAAAATTAGTCAGGTGTGATGGTGCACTTGAGGCCAGGAGTTTGAGACCAGCCTGGGCAACATAGTGGGACCCCCTTTCTACAAAACATAAAAAATTAATTGGTGTGATGGTGCACCCCTATAGTCCCAGCTACTTGGGAGGCTGAGCAGGGAGGATCACTTGAGCCCAGAGGGTTGAGGCTGCAGTGAGCTATTGAGCTATGATTGCACCACTGCACTCCAGCCTGGGCAACGTGAGACTGTGCCTCTAAAGAAGAAAAAAACAAAAAACAAAAAAAGAGCCAGCTGGATTTGGTGGCTCACACCTATAATCCCAGCACTTTGGGAAGCTGAGAGGGGGTGGATTGCTTGAGACCAGGAGTTCAAGACCAGCGTGGCCAACATGGCGAAAACCTGTCTCTACTAAAAATATTTTTAAAACATTAGCCAGGCATGGTGGTGGATGCCTGATGGATGCTTGTAATCCCAGCTACTCAGGAGGTTGAGGCATGAGAATCGCTTGAACCGAGGAGGCAGAGGTTGCAGTGAGCAGAGATCGTGCCACTGCACTCCAGCCTGGGCAACAGAGTAAGACTCTGTCTAAAAAAAAAAAAAAAAAAAAAACAGGAGCCGCCAGCAGAGTACGACTGCACAAGTGGCAGTGGGCTGAGGCAGCAGAGTGGGGTAGCCCTGGGAAGGCAGCTGGCTCCTGGGCAGGGCCAACCACAGCCAGTTCAGTTAAGCTAAGCCCCTGCCCCACCAGCTCTCATTCATTCATGAGGTCTGCTGCCTCAGCTAATCTCTCTTTTCTCCATCCTGCCCACTACCCCTCGCCCGGCAGAGCAAGGACATACCACCCATCCTGAGGCCCTCCCTGCACTCAGAAACCTGGGAGGTAAGAGGGGAGGAGGGGCAGGCAGAGAGGCCTGGGGTCAGGTCCCTCCTGGTCTGAGCCTCTTACTCCTTTCTTCTTGGCCTTTCAGATCCCTTTTGAGAAGAACTGTGGGGAGGACAAGAAGTGTGAGGCAAATCTGAGAGTGTCCTTCTCTCCTGCAAGGTCAGTAAGGCCTCCCGCCCTCCAGCCTCCATCCACTCTGTTTTAAGACCCCCTGCTCCACTCACCAGATATGTCATTTGGAGATGCCACTTCCCTCTCTTGGGCCTTAGTTTCCTTTTCTGAGAAATTCGAGGCTGAACTCAGTGGCTCATGCCTGTAATCCCAGCACTTCAGGAGGCCAACCAAGGTGGGAAGATTGGTTAAGGCCAAGAGTTCAAGACCAGCCTGGGCAACATAGCAAGACCCTGTCGCTACAACAAATTTAAAAATTAACTGGGCATGGTGGCTCAGGCCTGTATTCCCAGCTACTTGGGAGATTGAGGCAAGAGGATTGCTTGAGCCTGGGAGTTCGAGGCTGCAGTAAGCACCACTGCACTCCAGCTTGGGCGACAGAGCAAGACCCTATCTCTAAAAAATAAAAAGTAAATAAAATAGAAAGCAAATCCCTCATGGAACTCCCATCAGTCAGCAGTAAATAAGATTGCAAGAATTGCAAAACTGAAAGTCTGAGCATAGCTGGGCGGGGTGGCTCACACCTATAATCCCAGCACTTTGGGAGGCCAAGGCAGACGGGTCACCTGAGTTCAGGAGTTCAAGACCAGCCTGGCCAACATGGTGAAACCCCGTCTCTACTGAAAATACAAAGCTTAGCCGGGCGTGGTAGTGCATGCCTGTAATCCCAGCTACTTGGGAGTCTGAGGCAGTTTAGTTGCTTGAACTCTGGAGGTGGAGGTTGCAATAAGCCAAGACTGTGCCATTGCACTCCAGCCTGGGCTACAGAGTGAGATTCTGTCTCAAAAAAAAAAAAAAAAAAAAGACTGAGCAAAAAAGATGATTGGTTTTGATTTAATTCTTTCAGGCCCACCAGATCCTTTAGTTCTGATATTCCCCACCCTGATCCTCCCTCCTCCATCTCGGCCCCTAACTTTTCCCTGATCATCCCCCACAGATCCAGAGCCCTGCGTCTGACTGCTTTTGCCAGCCTCTCTGTGGAGCTGAGCCTGAGTAACTTGGGAGAAGATGCTTACTGGGTCCAGCTGGACCTGCACTTCCCTCGGGGACTCTCCTTCCGCAAAGTGGAGATGCTGAAGGTGGGTGAGAGTACACTGCCTGCCTACGGGCGTGCGTTCCACAGCCGCCATTCCCTTCTCTGAGCCCCAGGCAACCAGGACAGCCTGAACACGTGGGCAGTCGCGGGTGGACAGGGGTCTTAGGGTCATATCTGGGTCCCCAGCTTCGAGCTGTATGATCTAAGGTACGAGGTTTACCCTCTCAGGCTGGGTGCCGTGGTTCACACCTGTAATCCCAATACTTTGGGAGGCCAACGCGGGCGGATCACCTGAGGCCAGGAGTTCAAGACCAGCCTAGCTAACATAGTGAAACCCTGTCTCTACTAAAAAATACAAAAATTAGCCAAGTGTGGTGGTGTGCACCTGTAATCCTAGCTACTAGGGAGGCTGAGGCCGGAGAATCGTTTGAACCTGTGAGGCAGAGGCTACTGTGAGGCGAGATTGTGCCACTGCACTTCAGCAAGACTCCATCTAAAAAAAAACAAATTTAAATAGAGAGAGGCTCTCACTATATTCCCCAGGCTAGTCTCAAACTCCTGAGCTCAAGCAATCTGCCCACCTCAGCCTCCCAAAGTGCTAGGATTACAGGTGTGAACCAGTGTGCTCCGCCAAATTTCCTTTCCTTTTAAGGTTGAATAATATTCCATTTTATGTATAGACCATATTTTATCTATTTATCTGTTGATGAACACTTGAATTTTTTTTTTTTTTTTTTTTGAGACAAAGTCTTGCTCTTGTCCCCCAGGCTGGAGTGTAATGGCGTGATCTCGGCTCACTGCAAACTCCGCCTATGGGGTTCAAGTGATTCTACTGACTCAGCCTCCTGAGTAGCTGGGATTACAGGCTCTACTGCGCGAGCTCAGCTCCTGGTTGTGGATTTTAACAGCATAGCACCTCACCATGGCCTGGCTAATTTTTGTAAAAATTTTTTAGTAGAGAGCAGAGTTTCAGCCCCATGTTGGCCACAGGCTGGTCCTCAAACTCCTCGACGCGTCGAGGCTGATGGCCCGCTCCCAGCCGCGGTGGTGGGGGTGCTCTGGTTTTTCGGGCCTCCCAAAGTGGCTGAGATTACAGGCATAAGGCCACCATGCCCCGGCCCCGAAAATTATATCTTATAGCAACAACATTAAATGCTTCTTTGCTGGATGTGGTGGCCACAATTCCAGCTTAGCCTGGGGTGGCCCCTGAGGTAAGAGAAGTGCTTACCCGCCAAAGGGTTCAATCGGCCCACAGGGAGGGCCCTATGAATACGGTGGCCAATGCAGCTCTAGCCTGGCCAACAGTAGCAAGACCTCTGCTGTCTACACAAAATTAAATAATATAGCCCAGAGTGTGGTGGGGTGGTGCCCTGAGAGTTCGTGCCTATCAAGCGAGGTCCTGATGGATGAGTGGTCGCGGACGTCCATCGTTTGAGGCTGGTCAGTGAGCTATGATTACACCATTGGCCCCCCAGCTTGGGCAACACCAAGCGAGACCCCTTGTTTTCCAGAAAAAACAACCAAACAAAAAAAGCAGAAAAAAAAAACCTGGCTGCGGATGCGGCTGGCTCCACCTCCCTGAGGTCAGGATTCAACAAACCAGACCAGGGCAACCATGTTAAAACCTCCATCTTACTAAAAATCCACGCAAAAATTTACCTGGGGCGTTGGTAGCCGCTGTCCCTGTAATCCCAGCGCTGGGAAAGGCTGAGGCCGGAGAATCGCACTTGAACCGCGCAGGAGGTGGAGATTTCAGTGAGTTCCAGAGATCACTAGCCACTG